AAGCTCAGCTTGGATAGAGAGCAGGCAGGGCACTGTACAGGAAGGGAAGTTGCGTGGAGCATTACTAGTGTTATTGTTGGCCTTTCCCAAAAATTGCTCTAAAACCAGCTTGTGTAAAGAACTTTTCCAGTTTTTATTTTACTTCAACAGAAATAGTTACAAATTCCAGAGATTTAGGGTGGTTTTTTTCTTCCTATTGTTCTCAGATGTCAGTGATGTGAAAAATCTCATTTGTCTTTCCAAGGATGGGTAACGTGCACTGTGGGTGTGTTTCTGATTGTTTTGGCTGAGAGTATCGCAGAGTTGATGTCTTTATCCTCTATTATAAAGGCCAGGTGTAGGATGCTCAAGCTTACTGCTTTTGAACCTGGCTAGTTCATACTGAAGTGAGCGTCCTACTCTTAGAAATAACCTCCATATTCTGTGTCCAAGAGTTTTGATTGACATTTGTGACATTGTGCTAGGAGCATGGTTTTGCATATGGGTGTGTTGAATGTGAGTTTTTTGGGGACTAGCTGGGGAATTTTATCATATCAGCTTCTCAGTTGATATCTTCCAGTTTACATCCAAATGAAAGAGTTGCAGTGTAGGGGAAGATCTGCATTGGTACAGGTGTCTCTCTGCGCTTTAGAAGCACACATTTGAAAAAAATTATGTGGTTCTTTCCCTCTATTTTAAGGGATGCAAAGTAAAGTAAAAATGAGCAGATTCCTGCAACAGATCCTGCGAAGGCTTTTCTCAGAGAAGGAGGCTCTTCCCTCTATTCCCTGTATACCTCAACAGATCCCTGGTACAATGAGGCTTCTCATGAGTGGGGTGATCCCAGCAGCGTTGTGACGTAGTCCCTAGCAAAGAACTTGAACACAGCTCCAGGAATTGAATGTAGCTTATCTTGAATTTGTCTAAAATGCTTAATTTCTATGAAACCAGGTGTATGGTTGATATTAATCTCAAAAAATGTCCTTTATATACTCAATCCTTTCTAAACAAGATGCTTTTTACTTACATATTGCTCAAAGATGAAACTGATTGGAGGTTAGGGAAGAAGAGTAACAAGGCAGATGAAATACAGTTTGTACCTTGCTTCACTTTTCACTCAGGTTCTTTGGGACAAAGGTGGGAGTTTAACAGTGAACAAATTGTACGTTAGGTAAATGCATTGCACAGGTGGTTAGGAAAGACAATGGAAAATAACTCTGATTTCCACCATTGGAGATGATGTCTTTATTTTTTCTTTCTTTACTTTGTCTGCAGCTGTGTCTTGAGCTTTGAAGTGTATTTTTAAACCTGTGGAGCAGGAAACTTCAGGATCTTGATCAGTAGACTTAGATGATCCAAATGTGGCTTCAGGGTGCTATTGTATTAAGAGAAATGTTTTATGTGGGCATGCATCATATATTTTATAGTTTATTTATTTGAGACCCAGGTGATATCTTGCTCCTCTTTTTGCCACTGTTGCTAATTATCCTGTAGAAAATGGCATTCTGTTTCTTGCTTCCTTCATATTTACAAGAATTAGAAACTACGTGGAGTGACAGGGAGCCAAGAATTGCAAGTCTGGCAAAGAAGCATGATGTAGTAGCTTAGCACATCAGTCGTAACTGATGATGCAAAGCCTCTTGTTAGGACCCTCTTAAGCCATGTAGAACTTTATGGAGACTGCTCATAAATATTTAACATGGTTTCAGTGATACATTAAAGATTAATTTGGCTTCTAAGTGGAAATATTTAAGAAAGAAAAAAAAAGAAAAATACATTGTATAGCTCATTTTAGGAGCAGGTTTTGTAGCACACAAGTTGGCTTGCATGTGCAGAATTAGCATGATCTGCAAACAAGAAGCAGTCATGATAGTCAAGAACTAATAAAATTACAATTTGCTTGCATAGAAAACTCATCTGACATGTTGTCAGCATTGGACAGAATAACCAGGTTTTCTTTTCTTTCTCTACCTTGCACAGAAGCATAATAACGTTAACATCTCAAACCCAGCTAAAACGAAGCCGTGACTTTTGGCTACTGGTAGATGGGACTTCTGGAGACCTTTGAATGCTGCCATGGCAATTCTTGTTCCAGTCAATAATTCTTGACTGGATATCAAAACCAAAAAGAGAAAGGGATGGCATATTCTCTAAACTAGATTTCTTTTAATATAAATTGAAATCAAGTGAAAGGAATGTTTCGGAAGATTTTGCATAGCTCATGATGACTGATGCTTAAATTACTTAAGTTTTCTGGATCATTAAATTACTATTACTATTTTCTGTATTAAAAATTGTGCTGCTTAAGTAGTGGCATGCTATGAGTTTTTGTTACATGTTAATGTGAGACTTTTTTCAAGGAATTCTTTGAAATTTTTGAAAATATCATAAAATTATTATAAGATGAAATTTAACAGTCTATGTGAGACCATTTTCTTGCAAATGTATGTATCGAGGAACATCATCTATAACAAAGAGAATCCCAAATTAATTTTAAAAGTGAACACTTCTATCTTTAGTGTCTTTAGTTGTTAGAGTACACTTTAGACGACAAAATTGGTTCCTTCCTATGACTTAGAAACTGAATTCGCATTTACTTTCTGTGGACAGACTCTATGAAATAGAAAACAATGTAACATTTTATCTCTGTCATAATCTGTGTGCAATTAAATGTTGGTGCGATGTTTTTGTTGTGTTCCATGCTGTGTTTGCTTGCTTTTAGGTATTCCTGCTTTTTAGTTGTAATCAAAGGAACAGATGGATTTTATATATGAATTTAAGGGATTACAACAGGCAAAGGTGAGATGCTGGGATGTTAGTTGAGGCCACTTTGGAAGCTGAGTTGTTAGGGTTAAAGGCAGCAGCCGCAGTGCCCAGCTGAGCTGCCCTTGCCTCCGCCTGCACCTGCAAAGGACCCGTCAGGCGTCCGGGTGAGGTCGGGGGTCTGGAAGGCCGCAGAGAGCAGCCGCCAGGCCATCACACACCCTGTGCCTTTAGGTAAGCTGGGTGGATTGGTGAGGTTTTTTTGGTTTGATTGATATTTTGTATGACTCTGTGTATGAGATGTCTCTAATGTACGTCTGTCCTAATAGGGCTAACTTCCTTCATTTCATCAGGTGCTTTTAGATACCAAGGAAAAGTATGATCCAACTAAACAGTGGAAGTATAAGTAATTATAAGAAGATTACTTCATATCTGGGTGCTCAGACCAAATTAGCTGACACCGTAACAGACACAAAAATAAAACACAGGTTATTTCTTGTGGCTTCCTGTAGACTGCTTGCATGTTTTTAGGGAACAACAAACATTGTGGCAAGTGCCTCTGCTCCTTGAACTTGTAATGTTTTGATTTATATCTGTAAAGCTTGCTACAGAACCTAAGACTACAACAAATATATCAATTGCTGGGGACCTGCCTATATACGTGACAGCAGTAATTGTTGTTAAAACTAGATGTTTCTTCAAATTTTTTTTTCCTAAAATCTCCAATTTCTACTATTCAGCTTTGTATTATGTGCTGTATGTAGATTTGCCTCCAAGACTTAAATTGTTGGCTGACTCTCTTGAAAGCTTTTGTAGTAAAAAATTCATGAAGTTTGACAACATTGTAAAAAACCTTGCGTAAGTTTTACTGCAGTTTTTAGCATTTTCTTTCTTTTACCTTTTACTTAAAATTCAGTATTTCTGAAACTAACGAGCCTCTTGATAGATTCATATGAATGAGAACATTTACTTTTACTTTGTTTTTTGGTCATCAGCTGATACACTATTCTCAGTTCTGTGGTTTTTTTCTCCTTCGCTGTAAATGCTGTATGTGTGATGAATGGTAGATGTACGTTCTGTTATTCATAAATCAGACACTATTCCATTTGGAATCACACTGGAATGGAGGCATTGGTAATTTCCCGGTAAATGAGTAGGTAGAAATCAGACAGCTTATTTATTTTTATGGGTTTAGCTTGTCAGCTTTTGTGAATGTTTGTGTTCTCTCACATTCTTGCTGTCTAACTTTGAATTTCCAGGGACCATCATGTGTCTAGAAACATTTAACTTTACCCATGCATATGAAATGTAACCCTGTGGTGGTTTTGGTTGAATTTCAAAGTAGAAAATGTAGCACAATAACAGTGTTATGAGCGATCCGAGATCACTTCAGGTAGATGGAAGAAAGTTCAGTGCTTAATTTTTACTGTCAGTTATGTTAACTATGCATTTTGAAGTGCAAGAAAAACTGACAGTGTTTAGATCTATCGTTGTGTTTGTTTTTTCCAGCTGTTGTAAAGTTTAAAAAAAATACTGGCAACCGTTGTTGTGGTACCTTCGTATTAGTAAAGACACTATCTATTAATGGGAACTATTTTCCGTATGTTTCCTCAAATTTTTCTTGTATATGGAACATCTACATGTATATAAATGTATATGTGTATATAAAATCACATCCTTAGCAATTTCCTGATCCGGAGGATAAATAAAACCTAGACTAGGTAGTGCTCTCTAGCTGACTTCATGAGTATGATTGCTCTCTTGGAGATCTGATTCATAATAAATATACTCTTAGAGCAAAAATCCTAATGTTAAAATAAACTGTCTTTTCTATCTTACCTAGATAAACAGTGATAATTTTTATACTTTTGGGTGCTTCCCTGGTATAGAAGCATTCTTCTATTCTTCTCTTCCATCTCTCCCTTTCTTGAGGCTCCTTTCCCTTGGAGCGTGTAGATTCACAGAGTTTTGCTTACGGGGTTTTTACGATCTATGTTACTAACCTGAGAGACTGCAAACTTAGAAGTTGAATCGATTATATTACAGCTTAAGCATGGTTTGTGTGATACGGTTTCAGAGGTCTGATACACCTATCTGTTCTCTAGTAGTTTTCTATAGTAGAAGTCACTTTTTTAGATCTATTGCTCTCTAAACCCATTGTTCATATGCATATTTTCCAGAAATAAAATTCAAATTCCAGTACTATCTGGAAATCTCAAAATTTTCTTTTTATTTTTTCCTCCCCTTTGCCCCTAGATATGCGTGATAAAATGAGGAAATGGAGGGAAGAAAACTACCGAAACAGTGAACAGATAGTAGATGTTGGAGAAGAGTTAATTAATGAATACGCATCTAAACTTGGAGATGACAGTAAGTAAAAAATCATTATTTTTGAAGCTTCTATTATCTGATTTTGTTTTCTCTTTTCAGTCGCTATTTTGTACTTCTGTGTTGCCTTTCTGTATCTGCTGATGTTCATTAAATGTATATTACTTTCTTAGTCTAATACGCTGCCAGAATTCCTAGATGTTATTTCTTTTCCAAATGTGGGCTGCAGCAAAAACAGATGGAAGAATTACCTCCTAGAACTCTTGGTTTGCTAGATTAGTAGTTAGACCATTATGTGAAGACTTAGCGTGAAACTATTACCTAGCTGTCATTTGACTGATTTTTTGTTCTTCAACCCTGTGGCAAAAACTGAAACGTATCTTTTTATAACAGAGAAAGCTATTCCTTAATCAACTTGAACATACTGCAGGAATTAATATTAATTTATGTTAATTACATATATTAAAAACATTAATATATGTTTTATTATAACATTACATTTGTGATATCATAGTTGAAGGTAAGTCGAAGTTTCCACTATTCATGAAATTATTATTTTCAGGGGATTTTAACTACCTTATACTAATTTCAGTAGACAGAAGCTTGGGTATAACATTTCAGACTAAAAGACAATTGTTTAGAAACATGTCACAATACAATAGTACTCTTTAAAAGCATAAAATAAACCAAAGTATAACAAAATTCTATCAAGATTGTATATGTGTGCATATTAATCTCACACAGGTTTTTATTTTAATGCTGCTTCTTCTTTCTTCTTTTTCCCTTTTTTATAATTCAGGTAATTTAATACAGACATTCTTTAATACATTTCTCTTGTAGTTCTTTCATTTTATTAACTGCTGTTATATAGTCACAAGTAGATTTTAGCAGCCGCAGTAGTGCACTGTATTTATTAATAAAAGTTGCAGTATTCCATATGATTAACTTTGTTCAGTTAGTTAACTTGTAGTAAGTTAACTTTAATTTCAAATACCTAATTACATACAGTGTTCCAGGAATTAAAATCCACGTAGTCATTTCAGAAAGACACTTTGTCTCCTTTTCTTGTCAGATGAGGAATCTTTCAATATTGAGTTTGGGGTTCTGCAGATAGGATTTGGTTTATATCGATGCTTTGCTCTGGTTCTGTCTTGCGCCCTCCGAGCTCTAATTCTGTTCTGGAGTTCTTTCCATTGTAAAGAACTTGGCCACTGCAAATGTTGTGCTTTTTTGGATATAAATACATGGATAAACCCCAAATTATCACGTATTGAGGCACCTCTGTGCATAGCAGTGAGTCATGAAGTGTGTTTGGAGATTCAGTGCCTGAAGAAGGTACTGCACTGTGTGGGGGTCTTGCACTGTAACTGAAGGAACTTGTTTGTTTTTAGACTGAATGGATAGGCTTCATACACCCACCTGCAGGAGAGTTGTCCTAGGTTCCCACTGCTTTAGAAGAACTTTGAGAACTAACCTTGGTTTTACTTGCTGCTTACCATGTTGCTAGTAATTTATGGGAACTGTGTTTTAGTAAGAAATTGTTGAGGAGCTTGATACTCCTTTCAAGATCTTAACGATGTCTCTCTGAAACACTGTTCTCGGTAATACAGGCTGAGTCATTCCTTTCCTGTCAGTGTTGAGTTTGCCCTTCTTTTCAAGATGTATATATTTTATTCTTTCATAAACTTGGCATTCAGGATTCATTAGATAAATTAGCTGCAGTATTCCTGAGGTTCTTAGCAAATGTATAGAAGTATCTGAAATTTACTTACATATTTCTATTCTGTTTATTTTTTATTAAAAAAGTAGTAACAGAATGGCAACTGTATACAGGTTTAAAAACAACCAACCAACCAACCACCAAAACAACCCCAAACATGTAATAGACCTAGAATTCCTTCTTGGGTAGCCTCAGAAGGTGAATGAATTGTCTATGATGGATGTTAGTCTTGTTGTTTCATGTGTTTTCAAAAAATACCTGGATATTACAATGGCTAATTTCAGAATGCATATAGAAGGGAAAATAACGAATGCAGTGGGGTAGATTATTTGGATATCTTTGTAACTTGCCTCCTCAGGCAGAAGACATCCACTGTAATTGGGGGGGGGGGGAAATTATCATTATTAGGGTTTTTAAAATAAAAATAACTTACTGAATATTCAGTCTAAGGGGCAGGGATACTGTTATCCACATCATAATTTTAATGAAAAGTTGGGATTTTCTTATGGATAAGCAGTAGTCCAAAGCTATAGAGTTGGATTTCAAAGTAGAGGAATAAGACCTTTGATGTTTTGGGGTTTTTTGTTCTTGTTTTTTTAAAGCTTGAACAAGAAAGCCCTAGTACAGATTAGAAAAACACACTCCTCTGGCCTGGATACTTGGTTCTCTTATAAGTTTTCTCTTACCTAATAACTGACACTAACCTGTGCTAGAGTTTGAGTATCAAACTAGAGGTTTGATCGGGTGAGGAGAGCAAGTTCATAAACTATAAAAGTATCTTATTCTTGTGTTTAGATTTTTTTAAAAAATATCATATCTAATTTATATCATGGATATATGTTATCTATATTTTGTCTGTATCTATGTATGTGTTTTTATATTCATGGAAAAAATGTGTACATTATATAATAAAAATAGAATATATGTCTTACAAATAGTTCCAATGGGCAAGAGGGGTTACAGGCAAATTAATGCTTGTTTCTCTTCTTTTATATACTTAGCAAGAAATAGTAATTTCTTTTAAAAATATCAGGAAATCATGTAATATAAACTATTTTTAAAAATGAGAATGTCTTTATTATCTTTACTTTTTATTTCTATGTTACATGTTTTATTTTGGAAGACATTTGCTTCTGTTTCAGTTCTATGAAATACAGGGTGCACCTGATTGGATTTACAGGAGTTCAAAATAGTTAGTTCTTCTAATACTTGCGTTGCGTGTTTCCCTCTATTATAACCTCTCTCTTCTGCAACTTTTATAGCTACACTGTTAAGTTCTTTACATTCAAGACCTTGGTAGGCCTAGAACAGAAATAATGTAATCTGTTACTGATTTAGAGAAATTATTCAAATCCAGGAAGAAGACAACATTTTTAGGACTTTCAGCAGTGAAACAGTTAAGGGAAATTTGTTTTCTTTCTAGCCCAAACGGCTGTTCTCCAGGTCTGATCAGAGAGCAAGTCCTCATGGGGATCTGTTTAGAAGACTGCAGCTATAATGTTAGGAAAAGCAGAGAATTAGACCTTTTTTTCCTTTCAAGATGTCAGAAGATACTTTGTTACTGAAAGCAATAGAATTGCTTAAATGCGTTTTTAATTAATCCCAGGAGTTTCTTAAGATGTCCCTGTTTCAGTAGTGATCCACGGGAGTAGAAGGGGAAAAATACACAGACAGAATTCATTAATCTTATTTACATTGTAGGTGTTTCCCATTATCTTTTAAAAAAAAAATCAATTGTCTGCATTTAATGTCTCTTTTGTGTCCAGTTTGGATAATATATGAACAGGTGATGATTGCTGCCCTGGACTGCAGTCGAGATGATTTGGCAATGGTAAGTTTTCAACTTGACTTTTCCCTGAAACTTGAAGTTTTCTTCCTGGGTATCTCTTCCAGATAGTTCTTTGGACAGGATGTTGTATACTCCGTAGCTCGAACTTGTAGAGTATCTATCGAGAAATACACTGCTGGGAAGAAACTACCTCCACCCACCTTCTCTAATGTGTAACTTTTGTTTAGACAGATCATGTCTTTTCCAATAGCCATGAAAATATTTACAGCTACTCTGGTATGGGCTAAATGTCAAGAATAATATTGAGGTTGCCAAACAGTACAGAGAGTGTTTGTTTATTGAAAAACTCTCAAATTATATTGGTTTTTTGAATGTTTTGAGGTAAAAAGTCCTGTCATGCATATCATATAATATGTCATGTTGGCTATCATCAAAGAAAGTCATTGACATATTGGAGCAAATCTTCAAGATGAATAAGGAGCTGGACTGCATAATGTATAAGGAAAGGCTGAGAGATCTGGGTTTGTTAAGTCTTGAGAAAGCTAAGAAGGGATTTTAGTGCTATTTTTGAATATGTCCTAATGGAAGGGTATAAAGAAGGTGGGGACAGATTTTTGTAGATGTGCAGCAAAAGACAAGTGTGAGAGACATAAGCTGCAACAAAGGAAATTCCAATTAGATATTAGGACAAAGTTATTAACAATGGGGTTAGTGAACTCTCAGGGACAAGTGGCACAGAGAAGCTGTGGAATCTCCGTTGGAGATGCTCAGAAAAGGTTTGGGATATGGCCCTGCACTCACTTAGAAGCTGGCTTTGTTTTGAGTGGGGATTTGGAGCAGGTGACCACCAAAGGTCCCTTGCAATCCAAATTATTCAGCAATTCTTGACAAAAATGTTGTTAATGTTAGTCAGTTTGTATGCAAATTTATTTGAATTATACAAATAACAATTTAGATAAAATGGTTTATTTAGAACTGTAACAACTGTTCACTAGATTAAAAATGAAAAAACACCGAAGCAAACAAAAAAACCCAACCAAGCTCAGCTAATCCTTTAAAGGCAGCAACTGAAATAGGCAAAAGTGTGTTTTGCAAGCAGAGTTTAATAATCTTTTTATCACTTCTTTACAAAATGCTGGGGAAAAAACCCATGAGCTTGTCTTATGCCCTGAAAGTCAGCAAGCTTGAGCTTATTGTAAGTAAAAAGAAAGGTATTTTCAGGAGTCCAGGTCTTTCATGGGGATTACTCTTCCCAGTGCCTTGTTCTCTGTCAGATGGCAAAATACCCCATAAAGTCTTTGAGCTTCATGTGAAGTCATTGGGGTGAAACTTAATGGTGTGTGATATACAAGGGGTCAGACTAGAGGATGTAGTTGGGAGAAGGGCAATTTGAAAGTAGGCAGAGCTAGACAAGTTTATCTTGCATCCCATATGTATATGGTAAAATGGAGTATGCTGGGAAATACGGCACAACACGCCGAACTTGTCATGAACCCACTGAACTTCCCTTTCCTTTGTTCGCCCGAAGAAAATACTGTTGTAGTATAGCTGTCTAAGCAAAAACAAATAGACTTACTGTTTAAATAAATACATTTCTGTTTTCTGATGTATATCTAAAACAGTCTTGGTCTTTATTTTCAGGGTCTTTTTAGGAAGACTTTCACAAAATTGTTGAGGGAGCCAATGTTGAAAGATCAGTTGTGAAACACTATTTATTTTTACTAATCCTGGCAGGGATTTTAAATTTCAATTTCTGTGCCCTCTAAGGAACATTGCTTGAGATGAGGGAGTGCAACATTTTATATGCTGCTCAGAAAGGAGGTTAAAAGCTTAGAGGAAAATGGAAACTTAGATTTTTTTATTATTATTATTTTTTTCAATTTGATTGATTTAGAGTAAAGAAGCAGTTAATTCGAACATGTCAACATCATATGTGGCTTTTTGCTACAGCTGTAGCCCTGAAATAGACAAACAGCTTTGGAACTTCTGTTTTTTAGCAGTGAGGTTTTGACAGCTGTGATGCATTTTGCTTAAGGGTGGGATAGGTCTCATCTGCTCCAAATGAGGAGGCTGAGATGGTTTTCAGAGTCATTTATCTCACTTTTTTCTTTCCTCTTTTTATTACTGTTGTCCTCTCTGTCCTGCACAAAATGACTGTGCGTAATGCATGCCCCTATGGCAGTCAGCCAGTTCTTTCAGGCGCATGTTTTAGTGAAAACACAGACTATTGGCACTGTCAGTGTTTTACATGCTGAAGCCCAGGTTTATATTTCTGTGCCTTTGTCAGACCTTTAAAATTAAAACCCAACATGATTAAAAAAATCAGAAAGCAAATTAACTGCAAATTAAAGTTTCACATACAAGTGAGATTTACCATTGTAACTGCTGAGTTTCTTAGAGAATCTCGAAACCAGATTATTGACATAGTGCAGAACCAGTCCTCAAGAACTTAAATTATTATGGAAATTACAGGTTTAAATTTAAAAAGAGAACATTCAGTGCTGCTGAGTCCAGAACATTTTGAAGATATAGCTACTGTAGTTTATTCGTGCACTTTTGTTTCCAAAAGTAATGCAGGGAGTTGTTTGTGACTTCCTCACAACTTTTCAGGTCACTTTATTGTGTCTGATGTTTTAATCGACAGGAGTTTATTTTGGCCTTGTGGCTGCTATATTTCGTTGAATAATGATCATGTAGTCAGATCTAATGTGAATAATTCTGGTCTTGTAGTACTTCTGCACTTGAGTGCTACTTCATCAGCTTTTTTTATATTGTCAGTGGGATTTTTCTAGATGTAAAAGTCCATCTACAGGTTGTGGAGTTTCGTATTATTGCAAGTGTTATTTTTGATATTTAAAAATTTTGTTGGAGAAAAGCAGTGTATGTTTTTATACTGAAAATCACTATCAGGATCCCCAGATCACTAGGATTTATTGTCTGCAAAAGTTCTTTTTAAAATCTAGACGATTGTTTGTATTCTAAAAGCTAGAGTGAAACTACCTTTTTGGCGTTTTATTTAAGTTTTCCTGTCTCTTAAGAATGTTCACAGATTAGTTCAGCCATCATGTAATGTGCTGCTAAGTACGTGTACTTTTTTATGGCAACTTGTCCGAGTAGCAGCAGTTCACCTAGACGTCACTCAAAATGCCAGTAAACTGAATCTTGCTGTGTGAAATTTTATTGTTGAGATCTTGGTTCATGGGAAACTAAGATCATCATGATGAAAATATTCTGTGCTTACATGAGGCTAAGCATTACTTTGATTACTGTTTCCTTTCTCTCTTCCATCTCTTATTTTTTTGCATCTGAGAGATGTGAGTATTTCTCTTTGCTGTGCTCTAGCAATTTGTTTATCTACAGAAACAGAGAGGGAACCTACTGATTTTTACTGATTTGCTTCTGTGTTTTTCCTTTGACCAGTGGATGTGATGAAATTATATAGATAGGCCTCTGCTAGAACCTTAGGTCTGAAAAACAAGTTTATAAACTGAGTTGTATAAATTGATGCCTGGAAAAGGAGGGTTCTGTGTGAAGTGTTTAATGTGATTAAAACCACTGGTCTTTTTGAGAGCCTGAGGACTGTCCTGCCTCCCACCATAATGAGTCAGCTACAAACTTTCCAATGCTATCTAGCCACGTTCATGATAGAGTTAGTTTGCTCTGGGGAAGTTGTGACTCAATCCCTCTACCAAACATCCTTTTTTTTGCTAATCCAGAGAAATCCGCCTGTGATTAATTTCTTTTATCCAGCCCAGGTGTCTCGTTGATTTCAGGAGTTAGAAGCTATGCCTTTCTGCCGGCAGGCTCAACCCAAGCCAGTGACAAACATTTTCTTTGGATTTCAAAGTTTTATTTTAAAAATAAACACAGAGCATAGTATTAACATAGTTTGTTCCATTTTGAGATATCCATTTATTAAAGAAGTATCACATAAGCTCTTACCATCTTTATTTTGTTGTTTTTTTACTGTCTTCTGTTATTATGAGGCAACTAAGGAGACTTTTAATAGCGTCAGAACTGTTTTAATGGATGAGTTCAATTTTCTAGACAAATAACTATTTCCAAGAAGGCCTGATGATCTAACGATAAGTATGGAAGATATTTCTTAGAATTAGTCTTCTAACAGACAAAGTTTCAGTTTCTGAGCTTCTCTTTATCAATACATTTTATTGCTTATTTCAAAAATTGGTATTTGCTTTTACTCAGAAGTGCCATGTTAGGTTCCTCAGTCAAGGACTTTTTTTTTTTTTTAATTTCAAATTCTGTGTGGATAATTATATTCACAATAGTATTTTTGGTTTTATTTGTATAGTTTTGTCTTCAGGAACTAAGGCGGCAGTTTCCTGGGAGCCACAGAGTGAAACGATTAACTGGAATGAGATTTGAAGCTATGGAAAGGTAAAACCTGAATTTTAAAAAAAATGTACTTTCTGTCTGGTGCTTGCTATTTCTTAAAAAGGCATTCAGGCACTATGAAAACATGGCAAAGCAGTGCTGGGCAGTTTCTTTAGAGAAAATAATGGTGTGCACGATCATATTATAATGTTTAGACATTTTTATTGCATTTTTGCATGTACTATGCAATGTTACATTTTTTCAATCTTCCCTTCAGACTTCCTAGGTTAAAAAGATCTCTTAATTGACAGCATAAGTCATTATACAGTAAAACACTAGGCACTTTTTTGGCGAATTCCGTGAGGTATACATTTCATCTCACAGAGCTAGAGCAGTGTATGAAAATCAGTGCCAGCGTTTACCTTCATTGTTCTCCTATGCTCCTAATTACTGCAGGGTGTACCTCTTTTCCCCTGTTTTCTGAGTGTGCAAAAATCCAGTAGACTAGGTGTTCCACATTTCACACTCACTTTATGTCAAATACTCATTCATGAAGAATTTCCATTAGACTTAGCTGTCTTTCTCTCTTCATTTGATATAGAGTAGGAAGACAGGGAGAGAATGGCAGCAGATTTCCCCCCTTCCCAAAACCTATTCGGAAGTGCAAAGGATCATAATTCTATTCAGGCTTATGTGACTACACTGAAGATGTTAATGCATGGGAACAGATCTTTGTGGGAGATTACTGCTGCACAAACATTATGTGTTTTTTCAGCATGATGTGAGATTGAGCCACAGTTTGGTGAAAAGTGCTCATAAAAATTCTTGACAAAATGTCTCTGTCAGGTTAGGTCCTTGAGATTGGAGTGTCACAGGAGCAGAGGCATTAACAAAGGCTGAGGTTTCATCTTCACAGACTTTCTCCACAAGTCAGAGGAGAATAAGAGGCTTCAGGTCTGGGCTGTCTTGAACAGGAACCAATCTGCAGCTGCTTTAAGCCATGCTCTGGAAAGCCTAGGGAGACTTAGGCTGGAGTGATCACATGTTCAATTGAAGAAGTGAATTTCTTGTTAAATTCTGAGTGACTTCCAGGAGTTGATAAGATCCTGCCTTCCCCAGCAGCAAGAGGAAACAGTGAGGAACATCCAAGTAGACTGAGACATCCCTGTAGACATTGGCTAGTCAAAAGAATAGTACTCTGGAACTGCATCCCGTAAAGCTGGGATTATGGCCGTCATGTTCAGTCTTGTAAAATACATTGGAAAAAGTAGCAACTAATAGGGAACATGAATACAGCATTTTACAGTGCGTCTGCTCAAGTCTGTAGCAGTCACCTTCTGCTCGGTTTTACTTTTGTGCTGCCTTTCACGTTTGTTCTCGTACCTTCTAGTAACTGGACTGGACAGCCGAGCTGTGCAGATCACAGCGGTAGTACATAAATGGGTGTCCAAGGTGAGAAGGGGATGTGTGGCATCAAAATCAATCAACAATACCTCTGAAAAACTACTTGTCAGACTACATATATGAAGACACAAAGTATGCCATAGTTATGTGGTGATAGCACAACAGCTGTGTAATCAAGTGTATTTTGAATTGAATTGTTTCATTTGTCCAGTCAGAGAGCTGTGTACAGAACCCAGAACACAGAGATATGCTTCCCAGAAGATTTAAAGCATTTATAGCAGCTAGAGTAACCTGTTTCAAGCATACTTCAAAATTCCAGAATTAATTAATAAAACCCATGTAGTGATGGTGGAAAATATTTTCTTTCAAGATTTATGGTATAGTCTAGGGGTGGACTCTTGTGTGAATCCCCCCAGTTTACTGTATGTGGCTGCTTAGACTTGATGAAATTGTAACAGAAGAAACTTTAAGTTTGAAATCAAATTAATTGAAGTGAAAAGTCATTATTTTGGATGGGCTTTCAATTTTGGGGCTTTCTGTTTCTTGGGAGAGGTGAAAGGGAGAGTTGGGATGTGATGGTTGAACCTATTGGGTACAGAAAAAGGAGAACAGATAGGAAAGTAAGAAATTGGGTGTAAATTTGCTGCTGAAACAGTATTCTGTAAAGCAATTACCATGTATTTTTTTTAATTTGGTGACATAAAATACTGCTGTTCATATTCAGCACTCAAGAGAATTTTGTGTGAATATAGTTTGCTTAAATATATTCAATATAAAACATACAGGAGCATTATTAGCTATTGCAAGGACAGTCAAAAAGTCAGTTCTATCTTAGAAAAAATAAATACAAATGATTTCTTTGAACAGGTATGATGATGCTATCCAGTTATATGATAGAATTTTACAAGAAGATTCAACGAACACAGTAAGTTTAAAAGATTTTTCTGAACTGCAGTGGGTTGTTGTTTGAAATTGTGATAACATTTTGTGGGTTTCACTGTGGAAAAATGTGTGTCTGTATTACTGTATTTATTTCTTTTAGTTTCCTAGTATAGTAACCTAAGTTACCTTCATTAGAACAAATGAGATTCATTTCATGATGAGAAGGTGTGATGTAATATCTGCTTAAACCTTGAATGTAGAAAACCGGATTATAACTGGAAATTTTTCCAGCAGTCTTGGTTGGGTTTAGATCGGGCCTTTCAGATTTTCCATTTGCCCTGAATATTCAGTATGTAAAGGACCAATACAGTCTGCCATGTGTCTTTTGTCTTCCTAACGCTTAATCTTAATTAAAGATTAAATATGAGTACACTCAGGTAGTGCTTGAATGGCAGTTAGTTTGATGTATTCTCTGGGACGCTTTACTAGCTTTTGAATCAAAATGCTACAAGGCTTCCCAGTCATATAAAACAAAATCTGAGACAGGCTGTACTTTTCTTTTAAGCACTTTTTGAATACTTGTTGTGTAAGCCACCTTGAGCTATTAGATGCCAAAATTAAAGTCTAGGGAAACTTGTAGCAATATATTTTCATGCATTTTTTTCCGCAAGGACAAAACTAGAAATACGAAGAAACTGTGGAGTTAATTATTGTTAATCGTTGTCTCTTTGAGGCTATGTGTTTGTGTTACTTGGTTGCAAGGAACTGGTTCTCTTTATTGGGTAAACTTCTATGTAAATGTAATACTTGGGCTATTGCAGATGTTTTGGCAGACTCATGTAAACCTTCCTTGGTGCGTTTTGAACCTCTACCTTTCTTCAGTCAGCTTATTTGATGTGGTCTGCTATTCAGGAGGGGAAAACCCACAGAAACGCAGATAACTGGGGGTAATTAGGATATGCCAAAGCTGCATATATATAGAGTGCCATCACTTAAACTAAGTAAACCATTAAAAAAACCCCAGAAAACACATTAAAAAACAAACAAACAAACCCAAAACAACCCAATAAGTAAAAATCACCCAAAGTCACCAAAGCAGAAAGTTATTTTCAAGGCAACACATCTGAAAACGTTAATACCCAGTTAAGCACTTGGATGACAGTGGTAGGTTAAAGTCTGTGCTTTTTAGCGGTGATAGAAGTCAGCTTTTGTGCAAGGGTAAAAAGAACTATTTCAATTCTTCACTCTTATTTTTTGTTCTCCCTTGAGCAGTGCTACTTGAACTATGTTCTGCAAGACAAATGTAGGTGATCTGCAGTTGTCCTTTGAAAGTCTATAATGGTTTTGAGTAGAAGTTTGAGCACAAGGTGTGTAGCTGTCTGCAGTAAATGTTGATGGATTTTATCAGTGTATGGCCCAAAGAGTTTCAGAGACAATTCTTCAGAGTCATGTTAAAACAAGATGGAACCCATCAACAGTGAAGCCACAAGAATAGGTTGCCTAGCTGCACATTTTATGACCTTTTGCTGAAGCCAGTGGAAAATGGAGCACCATATTACAATGACTTCTGTGAACCACAGATCTTGAAAGTGTACATTCTTGGCAGTTCGACTCTTCAGCTGTCTCAACATGGCTAACATCATTGGAGTGATTCGTGGGATAGTTTTGTAAAACAAAATGATATATTTAAATAAGTAATAGGCATGACTATTACCTAATTTGGATTTCCTCCTTAAGAAAATCATAAAGATCCATAAAACGCTACTATTTAGAAGCATGAGATGTAAATATTAGAACTGCTGCATGATTTATTGGATTTCTTAAGATCTGAGAACAGAGGTGGAGTGTTAAATGCAAAGCAAAGGTTCCTTGCTATGTAACCGCAGAATAGATTGGCTAAGCCTTGCATGTGAAGAGTGAAAGTTAAATAGAAAGTTTTGATAAATTGTCATGTACACATTTCTTTGTGTCTTTTACCTGTTAATTATTTCCATGCACACATGTGGCTGCTGTAGGAAAATAAATATTTCAAAATTTAAAAAAAAAAACCTGTTGCCGAGTTTGTCTTGGCACTCACCTTACCTTATAGCAATTTCTTCTGGTCTGCTGACACATGGAGTTGCTTATATACATTAAATGTTTTGGCAAGTGCTGTAAGTGAAACATAGACATTTGTTCACACGAGTAGTCTAAAATCATACTTTGCATCGACTGACAGTTTCAAATAGAAGCATGGAAAAAGTCTTTTCAAAAATTATTTGAGACACCTGGCAGACTTTTCCATTATGAAAAGTGAACTTTGAACTCAAATTATGTAATGGATATTTACACTTTTGGATGAGGTTTTGTTGCATGCAAAACTCTGAAATTAAGATAACAGTAATTATTTTATTTCATTTCTTAGGATAGAATTCAAAACAGTCTTTGTTTTTAAAAGATGACCAGCTCAATGTTTTTCTCACTCTGAGCTTATTTGCTGAAAAAGATGACTCATTTGACAATGGAGCAATGTTAATGTTGTCACTTCAGAGATCGTGTTTCATTTTTCAAAGCATGTAGTTGAGTAAGAGTCTGTCTCTTCTCCAAAGAGTTTAACATTAATGAATGAAATGTGACTCCTGTGAAAAGCACAACTTGTGTGCATTTTAATAGAATAAGAATGGGAACCTTGTCCAATCTTGTCCATTTTGGTTGAAATGAAGGCTTTAATTAGAGCTGTAGCTGGCAGATTACTCTGTTATTAAGGCTGCATAACATTTTCCATTGTTGGGTCTTTTTATTAATTAGAATTTAATGTAGTATCCAACTGAAAATCTTTATACTGGTGTGAACAGTGGCTGAGTTGTTCGTAGATCTTCAGATAAAATGCTTAGTCTGTTCCTCAGAACAAAATAAGAGGGGCATTGTTATTTTAGCAGGGTTGGTAGAAAAGACTTTTTTGTTTGTTTTTGCTGTTAACATATTTCATTGAGAAATCCTCATCCTGCTCTGCTTTGGAGGGAAGCCTTGGATACCAACAGGAAAAGAGCTCTCGGTAGAATGCAGCTTTTATTACACTATGAGAAAAACACCCAAACTGGCTAACTTACAGGCATTTGAAAATCTTCACTTCATGTTCTCAGTAGAGACTGGTGGAATTTTTATTAAATACATCTTCTTAAAATCTTGTTTGTATTAAGCGTGATCTATCCCAGGCTACAGAGACTAAGCAGGGCTCCCTTACAGTTGCTCCTCATGGCTGTAGGGCTGTGGGAAAGGGGCAGAAAGTAGGGAGACTCCTTTCTTTATGAGTTGCACCCAAGTGATGAGCAGGAGAAGGAAAAAATATCCAGAAGGAACTGAGTAAAAAGAGAAGGAAGCAGAACTGTGAGGATCAAAATAGAGAGGGACAGGTAATGGAGGGTTAGGTGGTTAGTAAACAGGTCAGATGTAGGGGAACAGATGGCTTGAAGAGTGGGTAGAGGAATTTGTATTAACATTTAAGTCTTGGGTTCTTTTTTTTGTTCTTCCTCTTAAAAAAAAAAAAATCACATTTTGCCTTGAGGCACTATATTTTCTGCTGTCAGTAACTAGCTTTGAGACCTACTGGTGAAATGTCTCTTATTCCCTATAGTGCCTGGTGTGTATTAGTTCTGTCAGTAACTGGTTTAGCTCTAATAGTGAAGGCATATACCATTTGAATGCTGCAGGTAACCAGAGTTGTGGTTCTGCAAGATGGAATTTCTGTTCTTTCACTAAAGAAAACCCAGGTACAATATATACCCTCTGGAGATAAGGCTACTTAAAAAATGCCAGAATCTGCATACCCTTAAAATGATTGGTAGTCTTTTGAAGTAAGTAGTTATTGTTTAGGGGTATCCTTTGTAAATTCATATAATACAATGGCTAAAGTTTGATATAATTTTGTAATATGAAATTTAATGCCACATTCAAACTCTAGGCATTTTTAAATTGTGAATTGATCTTCACAGTGTTCTGACTTACTAGTGGTCTGGATACTACATTGGGGTTTATGTTTTGGATGGATTGCTTGTGTAAAATTCAGTAGGAAATTTGCGTGGTGTTGATATATCCATTTTTTCTATTTGATACATAAGTCCTCATTTCTGGGAATGGGGCTCTTACATTAGAACCTTACAAATGGAAGTGGTATCTTGAATGGGTTTTTTGTCTCATTTGTCCCACAGCAGCTATGTGAGGTGAAATAGTACTGACATTTTACATATGGAAAGCAGATGAAAGCCCAGCTCTGTAAAATTATTTAGGACTCAGTTCCTAAGCAGGCAGTTAGCTCTCTGATTTTGCTATTCATTTCAATCCTGTAATGAATATTAAATGAAGAATTTTTAAACTATGTGTACGTGTCTCTATCTGATTAGGTTGAATGCCTTTTTGCATTATTTTACCCTGGCAAGGATTCTGCTTTTGGGGAGCAATTTGAATGTAGACTCATCTGTTTTAATTAGATAAATATTTTTGTCAGTTGGGCCCTTCTCAAGGTGGCCTGTCCAGGCCGAAGAAGATTGATGATGAGAAAGGAAATGGAGTTCATGTGTTCAAGCCACATGATAGTGTCTAACCCATCCCACTGTCATCCTAGTGCACCTACAGTTTCTCCTGATTCAACTCAACCATTAAGAAGATTGCAGAGCACTTGGTCAACACCAGAGGAAAGTTCTGCCTTACTTCTAATCCACAGAAAATATGATATCTTTATTGGGATAATTCTTCTGCTGTTTTTCTTGCCACTTTTTCAATTAAGCTTTTAATACAACAAGACACTGTATATGCATGCTTAGCTTAGGGCATGTGGATAATCTCATTAACTTTATGGGTCTCATAACATAATTGTGCGAACGAAGAATTAAAAATAGAATTTTCAGAACAAGATAGTGTTCTGGGTGAAGCTGTTCTCTTTCAGGGTTCCTAATACTTCACTAACAACTCTGTTATTTATGGGAGTGGGCAGGAACAAGTTGTGTGGTCAACAGCATGGTCATACGAAGATACACTTTTCTGTACTATTTTCAGATTCTTTTTCTA